GGGGGGGGGAAGTAAGAGTAGGAAGATGTGGGTCAAGATGGTTCATTCTGTGCAGACTTCACAGGAACAAGGACAGAGCCTCCTTCATGAAGTCACAGAGCATCAGCAGCACCTGAGGTTAGTTTAGGTCTTCCAGGTAAAGTTTGCCATTTTAATCATCGTTAACCTCCAGTGATAACAAAGAAATTAGAAAAGCAGGTAAACACAATTTCAACTTTGCACAGTGAGTCTTTAACATTTTAATTTTTCCCACTTGCCAGCAAAATGACAAAAGATCTCAGCACACACAACAACCAAAATCCACAATAATCTTAAGTGCTCATTTGTCACATAAAATTCCTTTCATTTCTTGTAACAATTTCATTTGAACATAACACAGATTTAAAATAGAAAAATAAATTTTGTATTTCATACATTTTTCTAAAGCCAATGTTTTGAGTGCATAACAGCTGGTGCTGTCAGCAGATGACATCTGAAAATGAAACCACTGCGCTGTGCAAAAAGAAGCTGAAAAACTGGCTCGAAAATCGTGCAGACTCCCGTGTTAAAATACCACATAAACAGGTTTACAGCCTTGAACAAGGGCAGTTTTTGTGCCTAGAGTTTCTTTTCCCATTTATAAAAACTGCTTTGCAGTGGAATTTTTATCTAGCTCATCATTTAAATTTTTTTAAGGCTTAACATTTGTCCTATCAGGAGCATCCACTCATTAATAACTGACAGCTATGCAACTAGCTGTCTCCAAGACTTCACATCAGCTAATTTGATTCGATGACCTAGACCCTTCACCTGTATTTGTGGCAATAGTGCCTCTTGTAGCATTTTAATTGCAGTTATCTTAGATGTAAGATGCTTTGTGGTTCAATAAATCCAAGACATTTTTGCTGAGGGAAAATTTAGTATTTCATCTGTATGTTACTTAACACTAGATAACCAGTATCTGCGTCTATGCAGCTCAGCTATAGACTCTGTTGTGGAAGTTTTCCATTAAATAAAGCCTGCAGATGAGCGGTGAGCGGTAGCTAACGTTCTTTAATCAAAAACTCAAAGAACATAAAAACCCAAGCTTGTGGCGAGCCTGCATGATCGCGGGGCAGACGGTCAGCAGAGTCTCCTGAGCCTAACATGGCTCTCAGTTAAATACCTTCTTCAAGAACAAAAGGCAGTACACAGCTGTTTCACACTTTAAGGTTCACACTCCCTTGCTCCCTCCCAATGTTTACAAAAGATTCTTCCTGTGGAGTTGTCTGCTTCCCTCAACTTCCTTACTAGACCCCCACCATTTGTCTTATAGTATGAGTGTGAAACATGTTTAAAAATCCAGTGGCACCAAGGCATCATACAATAAAATAATGTGATTAATACATAAGTAAAAGAAATTCCTATAGACTCAGTGGACCAGCCTTGCTAACTAAGCTTGCTACATTAGCGCCTAATTTCTGAATTTCACCCTCTTCTCTTGTGGCTCTAAAAGACGAACACAACAATGGCCAAACATTAAATCATGTCTTCGGAATGGAAGTCCAAAAACAGATGATGTCTAGATCCCTCTTTTACAGTCTGTGTTGATCAGTGGTAGTTGAGGCGTTGTGCAACACAGATAAGTCTGAGTCACCGTTATTCCTTCTGCATCCAGAATTGCTCCACCAAAATGAATCGGTCCATTTTTCTGCAGGTAAAGGTAAAATATTACATTCAGCTGGATACCAGCTTTGTCTCAGGTGCTTGGATGTGGTCGTCTTTAGGGGGTACTCATGGACACCAGCTGGTGAGGGGATACAGGATGCAGTGGACAGTCTTAAACCTGCAGAACACATAAGTCATGATTAATAACTCAGAGGTGGTTAACAGCTATTGTTAATGATGGTGGGGGGGGGGGGGTTCTCTAAAGGACTGGGTGACACCTATTGGAATTATTATTTTTAGTAAGGCACTGAATCTTATTGGCTCCTTCCACACATTTCCCTGTGTGTGCACAAAGCTGAATGATTTAATAGGTATCAACTCACCACTGGTGACAATAAACAAATCACCTGGAAAAGAACGTGTGTGAATTATTATCCTTACTTTTATCATTCTTTTCTGGGAATGGGAACTTCTGAAATCTATCTATTAAATACCAAAAATGGCCTGCACAAATATCTACAGCAGCAAAGATTACAGCAGAGCATCTGTGTTTCTTAAATGTTATGCTCCTCATTCACAGTGTGATAAAGCAGTGGGTCCTAAAGTGATGAGATTAATAAATAAAATTAATAAATAAATATTACACTAACATAGTTAATTCCTTATTGAAAGTCAAAACTGTATTCTGGCTAAGATGTATATAAACATTTTTAAGAAAAAGCAGGCTCGTGAAAGTCAGCCCCACTTGACAAAGTTAAATCTACAGTGCTGCTCATTAATGTTATAAAGGTGAAAACTGGGTATTTATAGTATGCACGGTGCGCTGGGTCGTCTGTTGATTTGCATGTGTAAACACTTATCTGTGGCTCTGTACTTTCATCTAACAGCAACTGCAGAATGTCAACTAGAGGGCATCTGATGAATATCTTGTGCAATTATCCATTAATAATTTCATATTTTCCTATTATTTATTTTTACTTCCAGAAAAGAGATTATGTTCTGGCCCCTTTGAGCTAGAGTCGCACAAGGGAGAACAGGGTTTGGAGACCACAGCTGGACAGCAGGACCAAAATTATTGTGACTGTTTGCAATGACCCTGCATGTCTTTGAAATGGTTGCTCCGAAGCAGGGACCAAGTCTGCAGAACAATTCTGGTGTGTCAGGACGGCGATAAAACAGAAGTAAGATGGAGTCAGTTTATTTATCAGTCTGCAACTGAATATTGTTAAGCTGGAAATTACATGCAATCTGTTTGTGATAATATGGCAATTAACGGCAACGAATCAGCAAGACCTGCAGATCTGTTGCCATGTGCATACAAAGAAATTCATATTAAACAGAAAATTGCATTAGCTGCTTATATTCAGAGTGCAGCCTGAACCTCAAAGATTTGAAACAAAAGAAATTCCAACACAGAGAGAAGTGAGTTAACCGCAAAATGACTTAGGAGATCAGCAACCCTGCTTTTATATTGGAATATAAGCTAAATAAATAACCAATAACCAAAATAAAGCCATGGTAACCAGCAGAATTGAAATGTTTCTTAGTTGCAAGGAAACATTGCCAGAATATATTGATATTATATATATAAATTACCTAACATACAAGTTCAAACTTGTGTGAATGAACCATTAGTTTGTCTGTTAACAGTTGGCAGGAAAAACACCATTTTTCCATTATATACAGTTCAAGCCTTTGTACAGACAGATGAACCTGTGACCTACTCCTCTCAGGCCGAAGGGAGGGCAAACACAACCGTGCACTAAACCAGAGGATGGGAGCAAATGGAAATGCCACTGTGAAGCATTTGTGGTGATATGTTCTTACAGCTGAGGATGAAGGAAACCGGAAAAGACAAACACATCTGTTGTTCCATTGTGTTACATCAAATTGCTTTTATCTGGGAGTGAAGATAGAACAAGATCAACTGGAGCCAGAGGGCTGTCATGCCTTAACGTAAGATCATGAGAGACAAAACTGAAAACTGGAGATTGGAGCTGGAGATTTCTACAGCAAATACCTTTAGTAAACAAGAGCTTTATCACTGAAGACGCACAATAAATGCATAAGCCTAAAATTATAATAATTATAAAACACTTACAGTATTTTTTACATATTTATCTTATTTTATTAATTGTTTAGGGGTTTTTTGCGGTGGAGAAAGTCGTTTTTCCATTCTCAGTAACAATATCGATATTTTTTGGTATATTTAATTGTGAGCATTTTGTAGACAGACATTATGTCTCCCCTTGACAATTTGGTATGATAAGGTAAATAATAAACTGAAGGCTAAACAAATGACGTGTCATTTGTTATGTGCATTTGATGTCCTAAATCCTGGAGCTTTTCATGATTTCCTCTGCTAGATATCGCCATCAGGTCAAAATGAGGCCCATTACTGCTTTGATACACTTCAGTCAGATTTTAAGGCAACTGCAGCACAGAGTCGAGTCTTCCCTGATACTAGTGCTCCTGTGCTTTTAGATTAGAGGCACTTTTACTTCTAAATCTGGGCTGCTCTTTCTGTAACGAAACATTGCTGGACCACAGGGTTTGTAGTTGTCCCTGGGAACCATAATTCATAACGCGTGTCCTTGACCTGTGATTCTTTTGTGACCTTCACATCAAACCCCCATCTGCTTCCGTTTAACCTGTTCCCATGTGTCTGAATAAGTGACGCATCCAGTGGCTCAGGAAGGCCGGCAAGTTGATCCCTGGTTGCCTCCTCGGGCAAGATACTGAACTTTTAGTGAGTCCAAGAGCAAAAAGAATGCACGGGGAGAAGCTGCTAGACATTATGCAGCACTACACTGCATAATCATACAGCATTCATCTGTTGAATGGTCTTAGTAACGCTCATGTTTTATGCTGTTTTCACACATCAGTAGGGTCATATTGTGGGGTGCAGTAACTTTTGCAGACTCTGAGGGGAGCGCTGTTTGTAAAACACGTACTTGGCATTCATAGGACAGAGGTTAAAATGTAATGCTCTGCTCAAGGAGTGAGGCATTGTCCTGCAAAACAAACCTTAACATTACTGTGACACAACCCTGCTAAATTGGCCAAACACATATTCAAAATTGCTTTGTGTAGTTAAAAATTACTTCTACTAAATACGGGGGGGAAAATGCAACCAAAAAATGAAAGAAGAGAACTCAGGTACTTTGAAAAAGCAATAAAATGCCTAGAGACACTGTATTCACGCTGAGAAAAAAGCACAAGCACACAGAGATACAGAGCTCTTCTTACATGATCCACTCTATCTCCAGTGCCTGGACCTGGATTTTTATGCTCAGTTTTTGGTCATAATCTAGTATCGCAGTTGCACTCATGATCATTTTAGACTATGTGAGTATTATAACCTGTCGTGTAGTGGTTTTGGCATCCAATAAGCCTTTAAAACCAAGCCGCAATTAGCATGAAAATCCTACAATAATTAGAGTTTGATCCATTAGTCTTTAAAAGCGACATATGTTTTTTTAATGTTATGTCATTTATGTGCAAAGGGAGCCAGTGGAACAGTAAACACAATAATGTCAGCAAGGACACATTTCTTAGTACCCCTCATTTACGAATGAATATTGCGAGAAACAAACCTGGAGGGATCGTCCTCCTTCGAGAAGCTCCCTTTTACCTCGATGCTGTTCATCTTATTCTCGAATATCCCATAGCTCAGTGTCACCTGCAGATTAGAAAACACATGAGAGTAGGAAGAAGTGCATTTGCTTGGACACCTGTGTATAAAACCGCCTGCTACTACCTGCTGTGGTATGCTTCTCTGGCTGATGAGCAGCAGGTTTTCCAGGTGTGAGTGGAATAAAGGACAGTGGACCATGGAGATTCCCAGTCGCTTTTCCACAATAAAGCCCACAGTGCAGTCATCAGGAAGACGGATCTTAGCTGAAGTTCTCATGAACTGGGAACCACTGACATACACAGGGAAAAAGAGCCTTTCTCAATATATTCTCACATAACAGAGTGTGCAATACATCCACATTTACTGTGGGAGAAATTTAGCACCATAAACTGTCCAACTTTTATCTGAAAACATGTGGTTGGGCCCATTGACTGTTTACTATGCATATTTCACCGCTGACCTTTTCCAAAGAACTATTTTTGATTGGTTCTCTAGCTCTACCTGTAGCCCTGGGCAGCTATTAGTTCCAGCTCTTTGAGAGAAGTACAAATACAAAGTTTCAGAGACAGACTGAGAAACCAAAAAGTCAAAACAGATACAGCACCAATTTTGTCAGTCAAAAGATTAACAAATTGCTACAAGATAATTTACAGAATGAAAATCATGTTGTAGTTGTTGTAATCAAATTAGCCACTGAGACCATAAACACAGCAATAAATAATTTTGGTGGAAAACCAGTCCTGTTGGTATTTGGAGCAGTAAAAAGTAAGAGGAGATTTATTAAGATCGCAAACTGATTTATTAACATTCGCAACGTGCAATTTACTCTAACTCTGCTGATGTAGCAATGAAAAAGTATCTCTTGTGCTTTGTGTTTGATTTGACAGCATTAAGTGAACTGATGAGGCAATGCAGAGGTTTAAGAGCGTGTGTAGGAATTTCAGTCGACCCCGTGGTGTACAGAGCAAAATGACACAAGAACAGAGCAAACGGAGCGATGAAGTTGGCTTTGGAGCTAAAAAAAAAAATCAGGTCTTAGATGGACATCAGGCAAAGGAAGTGTATTTTGATGTTTGTTTGTTTTTTGATCACGGTGCTGATTGCTTTTATTCTGATCGATGCATTTCCATAAATAAACTTCAAAAACAATGTTTTCTCCAATAAATTTTCACTATACTCCAATGAAACCGTTACAAATTCAGGACCATGGACAGCGCATCCATTTTTCATGAGCTCATCTGAGCTGTGCTCTAAAACATAACCACAGGTGCATCACAATATGTGAGATATAGATCGCAGATACACACATATAAGATTCCCACATGAGATCTGCAAATCCTTTTCTTTTTTTTTTAACTAAACAAATCAGAGTAAAATTGTGCTGGTACTGTTGACCTGTTGACACCACCAGTCTGAGAGTATAGAAATAAACCTTTGTCATTTCCAGTTGTTCTGTCTCTTGAAGGGATGTAGTTTATTTTAATGCAAGAATGCTACAGATCACGATGTTTACAGTCTTACATCGGAGTCTGTCAGTTACTGAACATCATCTGTTAATGTGCGACCCTGCTCTAAATTGATTGTCTCTTGGCAGGTGGGGTCATTTTTCTATATTTGTCTATAAAGGGACGCACAACCAGAGAAGTCGCCCCCTGCTGACCGTTAAAAAGAGTGCACATTTAAGGCATTTTAGAATCTGCTTTGCTTTTTCAAACCAGAGGTTTACTTGTGTTAGCATTTATGATTTAATTAGTTTAACGTTTGGTGCTTTTTCCATTAAAACTGATGAGATATGTTAAAACAAGTTTATATCATTGAGCATTAATGCAAGTTCCCTACAACAATGTAAAGAACAGGAGGTCGTCTAAAACTAGAGAATCTGCACACTTATTAAACAAGAAGCCATTTTTACAAACAAATGTCTAAAACCAGTGAAAAAAATGCTATAATGTGTAAAAGCCCCAAACATGTTTGGTTTGAATTCATATCAGCATTACATAGATGCAATTGTCTGTGTGCTTGTGTTTTTTTTCCTCACTGTCTTATCATCATCGTCCCTATAAAGCACACACACACACACACACACACACACACACACACACACACACACACACACAAATTGTAAATACCTGGCCCACGGAGCCATCTTCTCTGCCAGTCTTCGACTCAGGCAGAAGCCTGCTCCACCTGTTGCAAACCAGAACTGCACCTCCCTCTGATAGACAACACACAGAAATTATTAAGAGATACCGTATAAAAATAATCACAAACTAACAAAGACTGGACTGGGTGTCGTATGAGTAAAAATGCGGTTCCAGTGGAGATATACCACAGTTTCAAACCATAAAGGAAACAAAAACTCCACCTCGACTTTTGCTGCAACATGTTGTGACAGTACAGTAGACAGAACAGTCACTGAAGCGCTGCACTATTCCTGCTGTGGTAAAATGTGCTTATTAACCATTGTAAAGTACTATGTGAAATATTAGTGCTCTGCAGAGGGTGCAACTCTGGCTGTGAAATGTCACTCAAATGTTTCCAAGGAAAAACTCCTTTTAGCCGCTTCAGACTCACAGTAGATGCTGTTTCCTCAAAAAGCTGTTTAAAACACATTTTCTGTGCTTTGAATGAACTATTTAAAAATATACAGATACATTTCCATTAGACATCTACCGACTTAACCCTTTATATGGCAGTCGTTGTTACCGAGTGTTATTTGAGCATGTTGCAGAACTTTTCTTTTTACTTGTGTGACTTTTTTCAAACTTTTTTTAAGATCAACACTCACTGCTTGGGGTTCGCATTTTTCTAAACAGTGTGTATACATAGACTATAGGGAAAAAACACACATTGTCAGTTTTCACAAATATAACACAAAATGAAAGCGCAGCGCTGTCACAGGAACCTGCTTCACTGTACTTGGTAAAGCTGCTGTAACATAGTAATGATGTCCACTAAGATAATGCTGGTCATTGTCATTTTAGTCATTATCCAGCCAACTCTGAAGGAAAACAGTGAAGTGTAGATCTACTGAAAAAACATATATTGGCATAGAAATAAAAATATATATATATATAAAAAATAGCATTGCACCTGGTGTGGGTGCCCCTTTTAATTGCATGTAGGTAATTCAATCGAAACTAAATAAATTACAATACTGAATTACTATCTTAATTTTAGCAGTAGTAAGACTGACAATAAACCCCAATAAATGCCAATTATTTATTATAAACCTGCTATGATGTCATAAAGCAAACAAAATCGAATATCTCACAGTTTCTAGCCAGAAAAAAAAGTGAAATGTGTAAAAGTGGGTTAAATTTTTATCATTGGATAACTGTCTGTATGAAGCTTTGACAAAATCCATTTTACTATGAATACTACTGTCCTATGTTTATAATAGGGTGTGTTTTAGAACACAATGTGGCTCACCTGGTGCTAAAAACTACAAAGTAACCATCAGTAGTGAACGTTTTTTAGGTGAACATTGTGAAAAGTAAATATGGTGACATCATTATTATGCCACAAATTTCACTAATCTATACTTTCTAGAAATCCAACACAAACAACATCTAACTCAACATCTAAAGCAACTTTTGAACTACATAATCCTTCGCTCTTATCGACTTATCAGTTTGGGCATTATGAGCCCAACTGTAGGAGCAGGTAAGTGCGAAGGACCCGATTTCATGAATTCTGGAAGAACACTGAAAATTACAATTCTCCAGATCATCACTGATTGATTAGACACACTGTTGCCACTATCTGTCGCACACCTGATATTTGCTGATTGGCTGGAAGAAATCCATGTACAGTAGTTGTACCACCTCTCAGTGATTTATGGGGGGGGGATATTGATGTCCATTTAAGGTACCAAATATTATTCATGGCCCAATAAAGAGCTAAAGCCTTTAAAAGCTTTGGTTGTATTAACTCTTTTAAATTGTGTTTACTTTTGTTACACGCATATAGAAACTCACACCAACAGACATACACACATATACTCATCTGGGAATACAGTACACAAAAAATACAACACAAGCTCACACTGAATGTTATAAATATTTGCCACCATTTCACAGACACACGATACCTCTGCTATATCAGAGGAAATCAGAAGAGGAAAAGGGCCTCTATGACTGAACCTAAGTGTTCACGGTTTCTCTTTCAGGCGCGTATTAACTGCTCTGGTTTCCAGTCTGTTATGAATAGTACATCTTTATCTTCTAACTTTGAGCCATTTCTCAAGCAACTATTGTGTTTTTCCTTCTCCTGTTGCTTAAATTGCTCAGTTGATATTTTGCCGGGGTAAATGTGCTGCCTTGTTTTCCTGTTTGTCACAGCAGGCAGATAAAGAATTTAACTCATAGAGCGAGCTGTAATTGTACAACTAATCGGGAGCTTGGAAGATTTCTTTCCCTTTGTGTTCTTCATTCTTCTCTTTTTACCTCCTGTTCACTAATTTTCTTGTAAAATTTAACATGTGAAAAATGTACTTGTCCTTCCTTCCTTTACTTTACTTTAATTTCCTCTTTCCTGTACATCTCTTCAAATAAACTTCTCTTCCTTTTTACTATTCCTCTGTTTTTTTTTATCTCTTCCCTTTCCTTTTTACTTCCCATTCCTTCCCACTCCATTCCTTTCTTTTCCTCCTTCCTCCGATCATTATCCTTCCCGTTTCACTATAGTGACAGGAAATCGGAAAAAAACTAGGCAGCAAGATGTAAGAAAATGAGATGAGGAGACAGAGAGGAGCCTGACATCGCCTTTTTTTTTTGTTTTCACTAAAGGGAACAGAAAGAAGGAAGGAAGAAGGGAAGAGAGAGAAAAAGCAAAGCAAAGATTAATAAAGATCTATTCTTCCCTGCAAATGGCTGCAATCAGAGCAGAGAATGTGACACGAGGGAGATGGAGAGAGTCATTTCAAGAAACGAATGAGAGAGACTGTAAAGTGCAAGAGGGAAGCAGAGAGAGACAGAGCACGACACCCTATTCAGAGAGCATGCTGGAGTCGGGATGCTCTTTAACTCAATAGCAGCATTAATTCTGTAAACTCAATAACACACATGCATACCAATGTAGGCACACGTGCGCCGCACACACTCATGCACACACGAGGACATGTGTATTCAGAAGAAGATGCTGCTGACCTCAGGGGGAGCCCCTGCAGCAGTGGAGAGTGAAAATGAAGAAAACAGAAGGGATGGTATGGATTTTGAATGGCAGCAGTTAACCTGACTTGGGTGAAACTTGACATAAAACCGATAGGAGCAGCTTCAGCTTTGTTTTACTGTTTAATGGTGCCTGCAGAAGACCAGCAAAGCCAAAGATCAAAAAGAAGAGAAAGAAGAGAAGCATGATGGATAGACAAACGAAGGAAAGGAGGGAAAAAGGAAAATGACCATCAGAAAAGAGTTTTTTTCCATAAGCTCCTTGTGTAAATTACATGTGATCGACAGACTCCAGCAGTTCTTGACAGGGACGGTGTCCTCTGACATCAGCTGCTCTCTCTGCTGTGTGAGCAGGAGGGAAAACCCTGGCTGCTTTCATTCATCTCATTTTTAGTTTTCCCTCTTGATATTGGAAATCTTCACTCTGTGGTGACCCATCCTCTTACCTTTACAGCAGCAATATTTCTTCATCTCATCTCTAGGATTTGTTACTCATTCTATAATCAGCACCACTGACATGCATAATGCTAACAACTTACTTTATGTACCATAAAAATAAAATGTTGCCATGGTAATGATCATGGTAAGAGATATGTCACGATGACCTTTCTAGATGTCTTCTCTAAGTTCCCCTCACTGAGCACACAGGACAAACTTATGTTCAATGTGCTGATGCATCACAGTGATCTGAACTCTGTCACCTTTTGACATTGAGTCTAATAACTGAACTGAATTAGTCATTAATTCAGCTGAAATTTGAGGACTGAATGTCGTACTTGGTTCCTGTAGTGCTAACTACCTGCTATAGCATTAATTGCTAATTGTGTGTTGGCTCTAAGGGAACAGTGGGACAGCTTATGTGGAGGAATACAGAGCGAAGACACCAGCATGAAGAGAAACATATATGTGTATATATATTCAGGTTTTACACTCGTGTTTTCACTAACCACGTGAAAATTAATGTGACATCAGATCATCCTTCCTGTATGAAGGAAGGCATACAGGAAGGAAAGTGCTTGCTCATAGGGGGTCATATGATTGTTGGGTTTTTCTCTGTATCTATGAAGCGCCTTGAGGCGACTTTTGTTGTGATTTGGCGCTATATAAATAAAATTGAATTGAATTGAACTGTAAGCGAAGCGCCAGTTACAGCAGTCATTTCATGCAGCGCTGTAACATCAGCAGGCAGTCGCATCTATCTAAGCCCGCCGTTAAGGCGCAGGAAGCCGCCGCAGCACTCCCCTGAACAATAGGTGTCACCACACAGAAGACACTGTCGTACACTTGTCTCTTCTGTCCAGCTCCAGGGACGTGGCAAGCAACTGCAAGATATCATATTGCAGATCTACATTTGGTCAGTCAGCTTTTTCCATAAAGGCTTGCCATCTGTGGAACACACTTCCAGCCGAAATCAAATTGATTACAGACATCAGATCCTTTACATTAAAGGTTCAAATCTGGTTAAAGGGAAATCCGAGATGTAGTCATTGGATTGATGATGATTTTAATTTTATATTAATTTATTGTCTATTAATTGTAATTGTATTTATGATGTAATTTGGTTTTATGAAAATGTATGTTTTATTGTAAAATGTATCGATTTTGATTGTAAGCCCAACAAGGGACAATTGTTGAAAATTAGCAATAGCTATAAACTTATGTGCGTTACATCAGTTTCGTATTTTTGTACTTGGACTATGTTAAACTGCACTGTCCCTTTTAAATAAATAAATTCAAATTCAAAAACACCATAAGGCTCCAGTAACACAGGCTTAGAGACTGGGACAAATGTCTATTCCTAAACTGGTTAGTAAATGATTGCTGGCAGTTGCTGGCAGCCGCAAGTTAAAATGGTTTCAGAGGTATGAGGTGCTGCAATGAATGGTAAATGGACTGATTCTTCTACAGCGCTTTTCTACTCTCCCAGACTTCTCAAAGCGCTCTACACAACATGCCACATTCACCCAATCACACCCATTCTTACAAGCACTTTATCTATACTCAGTGCTATCTAAGTACATTCACACTCCGATGGATGCATCGGAGAGCAACTTGGGGTTAGCTCCTCCTGAGCTACAGCCACCCCCAATGAAAACATCCATGCCATTGATTTGATTGCTAGTAGATTGCCTGGAAGATGCCGGCTTGTCTGAAAGCCTCAGCGCTGTGCACTTTTACTCTGAATACAAACATTCTCTATTTCTGGGTTCATCACACTCACTACTAGTTTGTGAGTGTTTGCAGATATGTAACTTCCAGCATGGGGGACAATATGCACACAGCGTCAGATGTAAGACATGAACACAAGCAGAAAAGCACTGAATCACAGCTGACCTTGTTCACATACAGCTACCGGTATAAATGATTTTGTTTTGTTTCATTCGTGTTCATGAGTGGACAGATTCCAGCTGAACAGCTAAAACCCTAAAAGGTCATAACATTTTCCTGGTTCTTTACTCCCTTTTTTGACTTTCCTTTAGTTTTTGTGAGACTCTTCCGTATGAGTAAAGCCAGTTAATGGAAACAGTAGGATGGTATCATTAATTATACTAATGGTTATAGCTCGTGTCTAAAATGATTTTTTTAAGTACAACAAATAAATATGAAGAGAAAGCTGCTGGTATTACTAGCAGGGGGCCCAGTTTGGGCTTTTACACACTAGCAGAAACCCTTTGTTACATCCAAATAGCAATAAGCCTGACCCAATTAAACATGTTAACATGTGATTTCTTGAAATTGGTCCTGTAACCGTTTCCAGTAAGGATCAAAACTGTGAAAATATTTCTGGTGGAGAACGCATTAAAGAGTCGAGCACTCTGTGGGTATTAGTCGAAGCAATTAACCTTTCCAGAAAGAAGCTGTTCACTATCACCGCAAAACAGAGCGAAAAAGGGACACCGTGAAACAAGGACAGAAGGAACGAAAAAAGAATCCATGGAGTGAGAGAGCACAAACCGGAGAAACAGTAGGGTTGATTTAATAACAACAAGCAAGTGACATAACAGCAAATAAGAAAACATTGAAAACAAAGGAGGAGAGAAGGAAACCAAGATGGAGAAAGATAAAGAATCTCAGGAGGCTCACTGGAAAAATTAAATCTGCGGACGGCCTGCTCTAATCAATGATCATTCCACATTAATAAAATTGAGTTTAGAGTTGCATTATGCTGTGCTACAAAGAGTATTTTTTGAGTGGTTGTCAGTTTCCGTCTTTAAAATGAGATGTACTGAACGTGGAACTGTAACCAAACCCTTCATGTTCTCGTCCCTTTTTGCATATTTAAGAGATTTTATTTCTTCAGGGTGCAGTTATATGCTCCTCACTAGATCACGACTTCAGCATGTACTTTGCAAAGCTCAGCCAAGTCCTAGTGCTAAGGTTGACTCTGCCAAGAAACCTAAAATACTCATGAGTGGTATCGTACCGTTGCGTTGCCCTCCAGCAGTTCATGAGCAGTGATGGGCTTGTCCAGGCTCGGCTTGCCCACGTAGATGTCACCTTCCTGGGGGAAGGCTGACAGCAGCGAGAGGAGAGCTTCTGGGTTGACGTAGTTATCATCGTCCACATGACAAAACCACCTGAGGAGCGATCGGTGAAAGAAAAGGAAAAATATTCATTTAAAATGTAACCGTGGTGCTGGGTTTATAATAATAGTTTTCTCAGCTTCGCTCCATTTCTCCTGTTGACATTTGCAATCAGGCGGGAAAAAAATCTGAAGACTAATTTTCTTCTTTGTTGCTTCCACTCTTGCAACAGAGAAATGAAAAAAGTCTTACCTAAGTAATGCATCGTGCATCTGTACTTGAAATGGCGATACCTTACACTGACTGGAAGAGGAGAAACGGAAGCGGGATGAAATTCCTCAAACCAAGTGTGATCAATGCTGTAACCCCAAGTCATCTAGTTACCCATATGCATATATTTACTTGTGGTTGGATGCCACAGCAAAAATATGAGATTTTCTTTTAAGTTTGATGTTGACGTATATTTTAGGACTCCATGTGAAAAACAGTTGACCTTTGGGCATATAAATATCCTGAAGCCCTTGCAAGCCTATCTTCATTACAGACATTGAAAAGAAAAAGGTTATGTTGGCACATAGTGCCAGATACTTCATCTAAATAGAGAACTGACAGCCACTTAACCACAAGATTTACAACAGAGACTGAAAAGCATTTGTATGTGCTCGTATCCTGCTGTTTGTGTTTATAGACATCACTGATAGGCTTTACCTCGAGTAACCAACAAACACAGACCCAGAGCTTGACTCAGCGTGTAGTCTTTTAACAGTCTCACCAACTTGTAAATGTGACTGTTAAATTCATGAGATCAGGTGAGAGAACAGAGAGAAAAGACACCTGGAGTCACAGCAGTCTGTAAACTATTCATATCACAGTTTACAAGGTACAGCATGTGAAAAAGAGTTTTTATGGGACTCTGTGCTGTGCAATGAGAAACTAAGTAGTAAGTACTTAGGAATTAAAGCAGTAAGCAGCAGTCAGGTGCTGCTGATCAAGTGCACTTGATTAATTGATCCTCAGCGAGTACGAGCACCTCTATAGAAGCAGAAGGTTTGGCAGTTCGCTGGTGTGGAGCAGACAATACAAACAATTTGAAGTCCATCATTTGTGCAGTGAGAAAAATAATTCACAAACAGAAAACATGCAGCACAGCTGCCAGTCTTCCCTGGAGTCAATGTTTCAGTAAATTTATCCCAAGGTCAAAAAATGCAATTCTCAGAAATATAGCAAAAAAAAAAAACAAGCACTACAGCTCAGATGCCACAGGCCTCAGGTACCACGTTCAATGTTAAAGATCATGACAGCACAAACAACCGATGGCTTGTTTGGAAGGGTTGCAAGGGGTTGCCAAGCACGATGGTGGAGGGGTGATGATTTAGGCTTGTTTTGCAGCCACATTACCTAGGACCTTGGAGTCGACCATGAATTCCTCTCTACACCATTGGCGATTGTGGCTCAAGAGTTGGGAGTTCGCCTTGTAATCGGAAGGTTGCTGGTTTGAGCCCCGGCTTGGACAGTCTCGGTCGTTGTGTCCATGGGTGTCCATGTCACCCGTTGCCTGCTGGTGGTGGTCAGAGGGCCCGGTGGCGCCTGTGTCCGGCAGCCTCGCCTCTGTCAGTGCGCCCCAGGGTGGCTGTGGCTACAATGTAGCTTGCCAACACCAGTGTGTGAATGTGTGTGTGAATGGGTGGATGACTGGATATGTAAAGCGTTTTGGGGTCCTTAGGGACTAGTAAAGCGCTATATAAATACAGGCCATTTACCAATGTATTCTAGACCCATATGTGTTCTTATATCCAACAGACACACAAAATTGGTTCGTAGAACAGGACAATGATCTCTAGCACACTAGTAAATACACAGCAGAGTGGCTGAAAATGTCAAGGTCCAGACCTCAACCTGACTGAAATGCTGTACATAAACAGAGACATTATATGAGACAGACATGGAAAAACAGAAATTGACCCCAGACAGCAAATCAGCATCCAATCTTTCAGAGCCAATCACGTTGCTTTGCTGATGCCTGCATGTCGTTGACATTCACATCTATGCACTCGCAGGCACATTCTTAATGAAGCAAAGATGTAGGTAGGGGTACTTATCACATTTCTTGGCTTATTATATCCATAACATGGCTTAGCATGGAGTTTGTTCAGGGCTCTGGTAGAAAACCAGAGACACTGATTGTGTCTGCAGTCTTAACTGAGGCATTAATAAAGTAGGACTTATTGGGGGGGGCTTTTCAATCCCTACTTTTAGGCAGGGTCACAAACTTATTTAAGGAATGTTTTTCATCAGATTTACTTGAAATATTGTTGTGTCCCATTTAGTATTAGAATTAGAGTTATGGCTCTATCCCCACTCATTCAGACAGTGTTCTTCATGAGAAGGATGTCATTGTGGCTCAAGAACGCCTGTGAAGCAAGATATCGTGTCCCTTTCAGAGGGAACTTAATCTTTTTGTGGAAGAAGAACATGATGAGGTACATCTGTAATAACTTACTTCAACTTCTAGTTAACTTCTTCAGTTAATGATAGTTGTTAAGGTCACGTGATAAGAGATAAGGTTGTATGTGTAATGATAACTCTTGGTTATCTTGGCAGATCATTCCATGTGATACTGTCACAAGAGCTCTGGAAAAGCTAGCAAAGAAATGTTGAATTTGGGCATTTTAATGGGACAAGATTTAAGATCTTCTCCCATTTTGAAGCTTTTTTCATCTACATTTGTTTTTGTCCTCACAGCTTGAATTGCTCTGTGAGTAATCGAGCTGTTTGATTTTTTTCTCTGCCATCTTAATGACTGGACATGATGTCAGAGCCTCATTCCAAACCAAACAGGCTTGCACTGCAACATCAGAGTCCAAATTACAAAGCTGCTGGTACCAAACTGAAGTGCTGCCTTGTTTCCTCTGCCATCCTAATTGCTGCCCAACAACAGAAAAGGCTTACTTCCAAACCAAACATCCTCACTTCCCTCTTGAGTGGGACTTGAGTGAAACTGGGGAGGTTTGTAAGTGTGCCTTGGAACCAATTTGAAAACATTTTCACTGCCATTCTAATAATGAACGCCCCCCCCATTCACTCCCACCCCAAACACAAGCTGTTAAGTTTCATTCATTTTTCCATAGATCAGTATCAAAGGATTGTCAATACTTTATATTGTACAGCAGCATCAAGCAGCGTTGTCTCGTGCATATTCAAGTCCCTAATAAACAAACTTTTCAGTTTCTTGGAAATATTTTAATCCTGTTTTTTTCCTGCTTCTTCTTCTTCTGTGATTACATAACGCACAAAGAGCTAATAAATACAACAATGACACAAGGGTAGCCTGCACTGTGTGCTAATGCAGTGTTCGAGACAAGGCATGAAATTGGAAAAGATGCAGACAAGAGTGTAGGGGATCATACATCATCTTCATTCTGGGCCCATTAAGAGCAGATTGCATTATTTTAGTTTTGCCCCAGTTGAAAGGTGTTATGGATAGCTGACAGTGACTGAAAGGTGTGTTTCAAATAAGCTCAGTGAACACAGAGGAGGCTCAACGCTGTCAGACTCAAGCCTCAAACTGAAGCAACCAGGGCACGGTTAATTTATCTGAGAAGTGATAGTGGGTGAATAATTAGTTTGGCAGCTATTGACTGCACATCCATCTAATGATGTTAGCTATTACAGAATGCAGTCATACATTTATCTAACTAATTAAGCAATTTCTGTATATCTGTTTGCTGGTTTTCCATCGATCTCAACATCCCCTTCAAACTTGTGCCATGTGTACTGCTAAGGACACGAGTCAGAGAAACGTAGAATCTGACTGGTTGTTCTCCCCTCCTTTCCCCTCCCTCTCCCCTTCAGCAAGGAGTTAAACAGTCTGATGGCGTGTGGGACAAAGGAGTTTTTAAGTCTGTTGGTCCTTGACTTTGGGAGAAGCAACCTGTCACTGAACAGACTCCTCTGGTTGTTTATGGCCGTGTGCAGAGGATGCCCAGCATTGTTCATAATGTCCAACAGTTTCTTTAATATCCTCTTCTCTGCAACTGTCACCAGATTATTTGCATTTTTCTGTGTAATTTTGAGTATGTCTTACATTAAGACATGATGGGAATGTTTTCATTTATTTATTTATTTTCTCCCCGTTTTAATCTGTAGTGGTTCAGCCCAGAACCTATTTGGGCTGCGGCTTAACCAATTAACAAATCAGCCAATACCACCTTGTTAAATGTTAACTGGTCAGCTTGTATATTTCCTGAAGGTGTGATTGGTCCACTTGGATTTTTTTCTGTTTCCTGTTTTTTATTTAAACACAAACTGTTTGACATTTTGCAATGACCCTGATGAAGGCTGAAACGCATTGGTCACTTAATAAAGCTGTTTCCTAATACTTTAAGTGTCACTGGAGTCTTCACGTCATCAAGCATCAGCATGCTGTTTGGGCTTCCAACCTACTGCAGTTGCTAGAATACTGCCAAACAACTGTGCGTAAATTGACTGTTACAGTACCCAAGCCAGAGCCTCCAATTATCAAACCACAAGACATAAATTGCTGTATGTCAGGATATGTCAAGACCTACTTAGTCCCAATTACCTAGATGCCATTTGGGCAAACAGGGTGCTAGTTAAAAGTAACTACTTCAAAACTGTGAGAAAATCAATGTGAAATAACACACTACAAGAGTGCACCGGCTGTCCTTTCTCACCAATACGGTGAAGAAGAAAAAAAGTTATTATGTTTGTCTAATCTATGTCACCTGATGCCTTGGTAGAGTATTTAACAGAGGAGATGAAACAACTCCAGGCCTCGAAAGCAGGTGTTCTTCAGGTTTTAGATGTGTCCTTGATCCAACACAGCTGATTTATGTGGTTAAATTACCTCCTCAACATGTCTTGAAGCTCTCCAGAGCCCTGGTAACAAACTAATCATTTGATTCAGGTGTGTTGACCCAGGGTGATATCTAAAACCTGCAGGACACTGGCACTCGAGGCCTGGAGTTGCCTACCCCTGGATTAGAGAATCTGGCTTGATACCTTCTGTGAGGCAGAAACCCTCTGTGCTCTTAAGATTAGGCTTTAAACTTTCCTTTTTGATAAAGCATATAGTTAGGGTTGGATCAGGTGACCCTGAACCCTCCCTTAGTTATGCTACAATAGGCCTGGGCTGCTGGGGGCTTCTCACTGTGTATTTCTTCTTCACTTAACTCCTTTCACTGTCTATGTGTTTATGTGCCACTCTGCATTTCCAAAGTGTGTCCTCTGTCCTGTCCTCCTCAACTCACGCCCATCCCTGAGCCTGGTCCTGCTGGAGGTTCCTTCTTGTTAAAAGGGACTTTTTTTCTTCCCACTGTCACCAAGTTTTAGTTCCATATGGGATTGTCTGAATGTTGGGGCTGTATTATTGTACGGTCTTTAGTTTACAATATAAAGCACCTGGGGTGATTGTTGTGACTTGACACTATGTAAACAAAAATTAACTGAATTGAACTGAATCAGTGACTTATGAAGAATGTGGAACAGGAGCATATAATAATATCAAGGACATAAGAGTATCTGCATAGGGAATGAAATGTCTGCCTTATTTAAGGAGACAGAACTGTTTAAAGAGCTTCTTGCAACACAAAATGATGAGGCAGAACAGGAGACTACTATCGTTTGCACAGAACTCCCACAGATGCAGATTTGTCCCAAATAAATTAAACAACTCAAAGACAATCTTAGTGTTAAAAACACTAAGAGGAAGGCTCAGACAGACTTATCACAGCAGGTGTAGGGCTGTACTGGCCCACATTCACAGAATGCTACAGGACCAATGATGATATTTGAGAGGAGGACCAGTGCCGTCTCCTGGCTGAGCACAGACAGACCACATCAGTACTTCAGGCACAAAAGGACATGGAAAATGAAAGTAGCCAGGAGCGCAGGAGAAACTTCCAGGCTCCTACAATCAATTAGAACCCTGAAGGAGAATTTTGGTGCAGAGGAAAAAGCCACAGATGAATGGATGGACAGACTCATTCATTTAAAACAGCAGATGGAAGAGGAAATGAAGGAACCAGAAAAAGGCAAAGAAATTCCTCCTCTTTCAAAGAATTCCAAGAATTTCTAAACAAGTCTGCCCTCCGAACCTAATATTAATAATATTTTAATTATATTCATTTTATTACAAATGCATAAAAAATAAAAACATAAAAGGCTGTTCTTCATACCTTTACAAGTTGGACAGCACCGCACAGAAAAGGTAGTTAAGATGATCGATTAATGCACAGGTTATGCTTAAATAAATTCCTTTAAAAAAACTCCTCAAAGATTACTGTTGTAATAAGTGTGACTGTAATAATCCTCACCTCTATTTATGCCTCTGTAACCCTGGAACATAATTTACTTCTTTGATTTCTTGCCGCACTAAGTGCTGCTGTAACGGTCTGATTTCCCCACAGTGATCATTAAAGTTTGCAATCTTAATCTGATCTTTAAAGCCGGTGCAGAGAGGGTGTTAGACAGACCGTAATCGGGCTCACCTCTTGTTTGAGGCCATGAAACCGTCGTACTCTGCAGACATCTTGCAGGACAGAGCCTGCTGACTGTGATCAGACTGGCAGTCTGTTACCACCATGTTATAACCTGGTGACAGAGACAGACAGAGAGAGATGAGAAAGAGATACTACTGAATGCCATCTGTTTCAAAGCAGTTGCACATGGTTGGGTGTATTGATGATTATACCATTCTGCATGGTACATTATTTTACAATCAGCCATGATCAACCCTGTTTGTGATTGACAAGTGATATTAGAAATGGAGAGAAAATATAAAGATAGAGATGTGTGTGATAGAGAGTGAGGAAACAATATAACAGGGGTGAACAGAAGAAGGAAAAAACTAACAAGCTAACAGCATGAGTAGACAGCTCAGCCTCCACTTAACTTATCCATTTAAGACACTCCACGATATTTAGGACCCAGATTGAAAGGATTCCCTTCAATTTACCCACAGGAGCATTTGTAAACAACAGTCACTGATGTAGGGTGATGAGGTCTGGCTTGCAGTCTGCCCAGTTGTCATTTTTACTCGGCAAAACAGACTAGAAATGAGAGGCCAGCTGGAAATCGAAGCACTGTTGCAGTCACAACAAGCATTTACAGAGTTGGTTAAGCCAGGGCTGTGGCTATGGTTTGGGGGTTTTAGTGTTTGTAACTAAATAATTGATGAAGTTACTGCTGTCGTGCCACATGAGTAAATGTATGCGCCTCTCTCTGTATGGGCATGCTCATATTCATCCTTCCTAATACTCTTAGGGGAAAAAAAGACTTCCAAAAACACAACTTCAGCTCCTGTGAGGTTATGTTGCATTCATTTTTGGTGACTCTCACAACATCTGGGCACATCTGGATTTATTGCTGCTCGATTAATATCAAAATGTCTGATTTTAATGTAAATTTTCGTTGCAGATTGTTGGAGAGTCCTTTAACTGCCTGCCTGCAGTCTCCCCTTTGTGTCACATGTTTATTGCTGCAGTATGAGCAGTGGTGTTGACAGCGGGTGTTAGTGGCAGACTTTAAAGAGCAGCTCAGGAGCAATAACAAAATATTTCAACAGGGGATGCCTAAGGCAGCTGCCTAGTTATCCTGTAGCCTTGGGTAAGAGTTATGGGTCACTTCATCTCATTCCTGTGTGCACGCCAGTATTAGAAGTCTTCCTGATGTCTGTGGTGTTGCATTTGTGCACTGTGGCATTGTCATCTTGAAACAGAGAATTCAATTCAATTCAATTCAATTCAATTTTATTTATATAGCGCCAAATCACAACATAAGTCGCCTCAAGGCGCTTCATAGATACAGAGA